GACGACAACGAGCATAATTGCCCTGCAATTATCAAGCCCGCATCCGATGCTGACAAGCAAACTCTGGCAATTAGTGAGTCGAACGCAAAGTGTCAAGCCAGTACTGCATCAATTAAGACCCAAGCGGTGTCTACAGAAGTAAACAATTATCACACACACGCGGATGACCACTATGAACTAAAAATACCGTGCAGCTTGTGTATTTCTCCACGCCATCTGTGCATGACCATGACAATGTTATCATCACCTATGATTAAGGATCCCAGAGGGAATCCGAAACGTCAGGAAAATAAAGCCCTTGTTCCAGTGATCGCATCCTCTTGTTCTGTTCTTATTTATCATACGAGGTTCGTTTAATTATGGTCAAGATACGTGTTCCGAAACGTCAGGAAAATAAAGTCCTTGTTCCAGTGATCGCATCTTCTTCTGACTTGGGGTTGGGTTTAACTGACTAATAAGGGTTAATGAGCCAGAGGTGGTCACATCAGTCTCCATCGTCTATGTTCGTAATTTCCATCTGCGAATATGATTTTTGTCATGCATTTCGCATTTTCAAACGCGCTTCATGGCAATATACATTCCTTTCTGACCTAAGCTTCGCGGTCATCTTGCCGAACAGTTGACACCTGAAACTGTTCACTTGATCCATCAAATGATAACTGAGTGCTAAGCAGTATACGGAGAACTCGACATCTGAAAAAAAAATTCGTGGAATGAAGCATACGTACATTAAGTCTGCTGATCGGCAGTGATGAGCGTTAGAGTTTACAAACTATGGGTAGCACAACCTCTCCAGGCTTAAGAGAAGTATTATTTGTAAACTAAGTGCTACTTATACTTTGTAAGTACGTCCTTAGTAGTAATAATAGTTAAGAGTGTGCTTACAGATACAAATGACGCATCGATATGTAAGCAGAGGTTTTCAAGGACATTGCCTACTACCCTCGCGAAGCAAACTGCAAGCATTACCTCTCTGTGCACATCGGAGTAGGAGGATGACCG